GAGGGGCTGACAGGAGGGAGCGCTGAGCGCTTCCCTCCTGTCAGCCCCTTTCCCCATGCTGCGCCCGGGCGCGCAAAGCTGCAGCCGCCCGAGGCTCTCTGCAGAGCGCTCGGGCGGCTGCAGCAGGAGGGAGACCGGCGCCCCCACCCAAGGCACCCCCCACCCTGCTGGCACACAATTAAAGGGACACTATAGGCAGTGGCGTACTAAGGGGGGGGGGGGCATTATGGTTTTTTATTTGGCCTTTTTTGGGGCTGAAAAAAGAAGATTTAGAAGAAAGAAAACATCGAATGGTAAGTTTTATTTTTTTTTTTTACAGGTACTTAGTTAAAGGTCCCCCCCTCATTATTTTTAGGGTGAGGTGGGTAGGTAGGGGGTTAATTTTTTTTTTGGGGGGGGGGGTGACTAGGGGTTTGGGTACCCCTAGTCACCTGGGGGGGGGAACATTTTTTTTAGGGCCCCCACCCGCCGCTCAGGGGTGGAGTATTTAGGGCCCCCATCCGCCCCTCAGGGGTGGGGGCCAGGGGGAGGACCTTAGGTCCCCCCCCTATTTAGTATTTAGGGCCCCCACCCGCCGCTCAGGGGTGGGGGCCGGGGGAGAGGACATTAGGTCCCCCCTCTTTTTAGTATTTAGGGCCCCCACCCGCCGCTCAGGGGTGGGGGCTGGGGGGGAGGACATTAGGTCCCCCCCTTTTTAGTATTTAGGGCCCCCACCCCCGCTCAGGGGTGGGGGCCAGGGGGGAGGACCTTAGGTCCCCCCCCCATTGTGATTTATTGGCCCCCACCCACCGCTCAGGGGTGGGGGCCCGGGGGGAGGACATTAGGTCCCCCCCCTTTTAGTATTTAGGGCCCCCACCCGCCGCTCAGGGGTGGGGGCCAAGGGGGAGGACCTTAGGTCCCCCCCCATTGTGATTTATTTGCCCCCACCCACCGATCACGGGTGGGGGCCGGGGGGGGGAGGACATTAGGTCCCCCCCCTTTTTAGTATTTAGGGCCCCCACCCGCCTCTCAGGGGTGGGGGCCGGGGGGAAGGACCTTAGGTCCCCCCCCTTTTTAGTATTTAGGGCCCCCACCTGCCGCTCAGGGGTGGGGGCCAGGGGGGAGGACCTTAGGTCCCCCCATTGTGATTTATTTGCCCCCACCCACCGCGCAGGGGTGCGGGCCGGGGGGAGGGGACAGTAGGTCCCCCCCTCATTATTTTTATGGCCCCCACCCACCGCGCAGGGGTGGGGGCGTGGGGGAGGACAGTAGGTCCCCCCCTCATTATCTTTATGGCCCCCACCCGCCGCCCAGGGGTGGGGGCCGGGGGGAGGACAGTAGGTCCCCCCCTCATTATCTTTATGGCCCCCACCCGCCGCCCAGGGGTGGGGGCCGGGGGGAGGACAGTAGGCCCTCCCCCCCATTGTAATTTATGGCCCCCACCCGTCGCACAGGGGTGGGGGCAATAGGTTTTTTTTTTGTTTTTTTACAGTGAGCAGCCGCTGGCTCTCTAATACCGTGGGAATTAGGGAGTTATCTACTAAGCGGCTGCAAGATGCAGCCGCGGATCGGAGTTTGCATGCCACAGTCCAGGTGTTAGTCCCCTTGAAACAACTTTTCCATCACTATTGTGGCTAGAAAGAGTCCCTGTGTGTTTTAAAATTCGTCTGCCTATTGAAGTCTATGGCGGTTCGCCCAGTTCGCAGGTTCGCGAACATTTGCCAAAATTCGCGTTCGCCATTCGCGAACTGAAAATTTCATGTTCACGACATCACTAATCCCAACATATGGTCTGAAGTATTTTGTTTGCAGGGCTTAGAAAATATTATCAGGTGTATACATCTCTTGTTATGTTCATAATATGTTTTGTGTGAAGATAATTTACATGAAATGCTACTTGATGTACAAGGTCAGCCTGAATGGGGTCTATCTAAAGTATATTACAAATAATTTATGTTAAAATTATAGAGAAATTGGACTAAACTGAGCAATCGATGCTGAAAACGATAAAAAGCATGGATATTAATGAAACCTGAATGGGTAGGAAGACACGGTCTTGGGAAACCAGAACAACCAACCATCTGGCTTGGAACGGCAGATATATAATTCCACAAATACAGAGTAATTCATTAACATTTAAACTTCTACGTACAAAACATTAGAAAGATGTATCGAGGTTTAAGTAAAAAAAAAAAGAAAAAAAAAAGTGATTTGTTATGGATGTAACCTGTAAAATCCAACGTCATTAGAGTAGATAAAGTATACAGGCAAGGAACTGCAATCAGGAGATGATACACTTAGGAGATTAAATTAATGAGTACGCAGTAGGTTTCTTTAATAGTTTTTGAACAGACAGGGTCCCAGGTGACAATGGTTTATCCACTAAGCTGCAAATATTAGTGAAATGTAAACTAAGGTACCAAATTCAGGCCAAAATATCTGATTTGTGAGAACTATAATCATAGCTTTGTCCCCTGTGCAATGGTGAAAGTTGTGTTGCAATAGCAAACCATTTATCGTGATCAGTCACCTGCAGCCTGATGAATTTGATGTATTTGCTCTAATCACTGGCGATCAATTGTAAATGGCATGGGGATTTAATGTTGAGACCAGAGAAAGGAAAGAAAGAAATCTTTTTAATCTTTTTTTTTTTTTCACCTGTAGACAAGATAGTTGTTTGCAATATACGTAAGAGAGATAAATGATACTGCATGTGATGTTATGGTTTATAAATTTATATGCAATTGGCAAAAATGTTATGGTCTGTTCTCTCCCCCCCCCCACCCCCCTCCTTGTTTTTCTTTTCTGTATCCTATGTATTTGATTGTTTTTTGGGTCATTTGTTTAATGACCGATGTAATCAACATAAAAATGTAAATAAAAACAAGATATACATTTTTTTTTTAACCCCTTAAGGACGGAGGGCATACTATTACGCCCTGCAGGAGCCGGCTCTAAACGCCGGCGGGCGTAATAGTACGCCCTCACTTTAATGGTCGCCCGTGTGGCCGGCGCTATTCGCCCGCTGCAGATCGCGGTCGGGGGGGGATGCCCGGCCCCCCAGGCAACCCCCCCTGTGGCCGGTGACCGCGATCTGCAGTCACTGATCGCAGTGACAGGCTGTCACTGCGATCAGTTTTTAACGTGTGTCAGCCGATTTCAAATCGGCTGACACACGTGGCCAGCGGCTACCCCCGTGCAGATCGCGGTCGGGGGACTTACCTGGCCCCCCAGGCAGTCCCCCTGGGGTCAGTGACCGCGATCTGCACTGTCTGAGATCGCAGTGACAGGCTGTCACTGCGATCACTCTGATCGCAGTGACAGCCTGTCACTGCGATCATGTTACATGTGTCAGCCTATTGGCTGACACATGTAACTGGCACACAGATCCCCCTGCAGATTGGAAGGGGGGAGTGCTTGTACCACCCAGGCACTCCCCCCTGTGGCCAATTACCCAATCTGCAGGAGGTGATCACAGTGACAGGCAGTCACTGTGATCACTGATCCTGTGTGTCAGCCAGTGATGTAAAATCACTGGCTGACACTGTCTCTGCCCCCTGTCCTGTAAAAAAATAAAATATTAGTAAAAAAAAAATTACAGTTACATATAAAATATACTTAGATCATATATATTATATATATATGATCTAAGTATATATATATATATATATATACACACACACACACACACACACACACACATTTACACATACACGAAGTGTATTTAAATATTAATATATATAATTATTTATATATATATTACTATCAAATTACACGTAGACTAATACTGATTAAATATATATATATATAATTATTGTTATATATATATATTTATATATAATATAAAAAAATGTAAATACGTAAAAAAAATAAAATTAAAAAAATAATTAAAAATAAATAATAAAAAAATATATAGATGTTTGTTATTTCGTTCTAACTGTATTGTGATATTAATATATATATATTTATATCAAAATACACGTAGAACGAAATAATATATATATCTATATACATAAATATATACATATATATCACTAAATATATACACCTATATATAAATAAAAATATTTAAAAAAATTATATATATATATGTATATATACACATATGTATATATATACATATATTAATTCTACACATATATTTATGTAATATTTTTACATAATTAGGTATCTAATTAATTACAATTAGCGGGACCTGCCTGACAACCCATGCCGAAAGTATAGGGAATTTAATTTGCTAGCACTATATTTAACCCTATAACTTTCCAAGACACCATAAAACCTGTAAATTGGGGGTACTGTTTTACTCGGGAGACTTCGCTGAACACAAATATTAGTGTTTCAAAACAGTAAAATGTATTACAACAATGATATCGCCAGTAAAAGTGAAGTTTTTTGCATTTTTCACGCACAAACAGCACTTACACGGATGATATTGCTGCAATACTTTTTACTGTTTTGAAACACAAATATTTGTGTTCAGCGAAGTCTCCCGAGTACAACAGTACCCCTCATGTACAGGTTTTATGGTGTTTTCAAAAGTTACAGCTTCAAATATAAGGCTTGTGTTTCTTTTTTTCACATTAAAATTCGCCAGATTGGTTACGTTGCCTTCGTGACCCTATGGTAGCCCAAGAATGAAAATTACCCCTATGAGGGCATACCATTTGCAATAGTAGACAACCCAAGGTATTGCAAACAGGGTATGTCCAGTCTTTTTTAGTAGCCACTTAGTCACAAACACTGGCCAAAATTGGCGTTTTTTTGCATTTTTCACACAAACAGATACTAACGCTAACTTTGGCCAGTGTTTGTGACCAAATGGCTACTAAAAAAGACTGGACATACCCCATTTGCAATACCTTGGGTTGTCTACTATTGCAAATGGTATGCCATTATGGGTGTAAATTTCATTCCCGGGCTACTATACAGTCTCAAAGGCAACATAACCAATCTGGCGAATTTCAATTTCAAATGTAACGTGCTATATTTGACCCCGTAACTTCCCAAAACGCCATAAAACCTGTACGTAGGGGGTACTGTTTTACACGTGAGACTTTGCTGAATACAAATATGTGTATTTTATTGCAGTAAAAGCAAACCGTATTATGACACTGACAGTTAAAATGTCATGTAGAACTAAAAAAATATAAAAAAATCTTATTTTCTCCCATTTTTTTCATATTAAATTATGTTTCATAGCTAAATATTTGATATTAAATGAAAGCCCTGTTTCCCCTGAATAAAATGATATATAATAAGGGTGGGTGCATTTACTATGAAAGAGGTGTATTACGGTTGGACAGACATGTTGCGCAAATGCCAGGTTTTGTTTACATTTTGTTTCGTTCACAACGTGTACATTTGGCTCCGTCCTTAAGGGGTTAAAAGATCTGAGGGTTAAGAGACTGCTTTATTATACAGTTTTTGTACAAACAATGGCCTTATTGTAGCACTACACAATATTTTTGGTCAGATTTAATTGCCTTTCTCCCTGGGTGGTAAGAGCAATAATTTCTGAATTAGCTATGTATCTGAAAATAAAATGGGTCACAACTGTAACATTTGTTTTTACATTATTTATTTTGGTAGTGCAGAGGATAAGAGACAGGTGTACGGTGACTTTTCACACGAGCATAAATCGACAATGAACAGGTACCTAGGCAAGTTACCTGCTGATCCCAATTTTGCCTTAATCTGATTTAATTTACTAGCTGAAGTTGGACAAAGTTGATACCATTAAGGCGGCATGAGTACTTCCTCTTTAGTTACATCATTGCAGTATGGAAGGATTGCAGAATTCAAAGGGATGTATGTAAATGTTAAACTGTCAAATAAAGTTGGGCTCCACAACTCTCCACAAGAGAGCAACGTAATATTACCGTAATAATTATAATAAAGCAAATTAATTGAAACATTAAAGATCTCTTTTAGTTTTGGCACAGCTGCCACACTCTTCGCCCTTTTTTTTGTTGTAATCATTTGTTACAAATGTGCATTGCTGTTTCACAATTGCATTTATTTTATCATGGTAACACATACATTTCTCATCCTTGGAGCATAGTCATTTGTTTGATAATTAATTTATTTTGTGATTTCACATCTGTAGGCATGTTATACATGGACATGCATCTCCACCAAAATATGATTGAGTTAAAAATAGTTATTGAGTGATTTGTGATAAAAGGGAATCACTATATGTAGTCTGAGCACGCAAATCAATTTCTGTTTCATCAGATATCGTAATCCTTCAACGTGGTTACATTTACAAGTTGAAGCCTGAAAAAATACAAAGACACAAACATTTTATGACTTCTCTGCCCTTAAAATATAAAGGAAAGAAGAGGTATGTTAATAGCAATGGTCAGACCACTGCTAGCGAAATCTTTACACTTTAACAATCCATAATTACACAGCCCACAAGTAAAATATGATTACAGCATTATTACGATTATGGCTTTTTGTCCAGTTCAGATCACAGACCGTGCATTCCACGGGTTAAGAACATCTTTAGTACCAAACATGCACCATCCAGAATTAACAGGTAGGATAGTTAAAGTAATCTCCCCTATCACATAAATAAATGTGATATAGCATACATAGAGAGATAGGAATGGGTTGGCGTATCTCCCTATTCTCTTATATTTCCCAAAAATATCAAAGCGTGTGATTTATTCACTTTTCTATTTTTTAATTAGTAAAGAAGAAGCAGTTCAAACAAACAATGAGCTCTGCTAAAACATTTACATAACATGCAAATTACATTGTAGATGTCAAGCCTTTTATGATTCTTTTATGAAAGACTTCGAACTACAAATGTATTCGTCTATAATCTGGAATTTTAAGGAATCGATTTTTTGGCAGTAGGTTTTTTTCGTCATCAGATGAGGCTCAATTGACTGATCATGTTCATGTTGGCCCTGATCATTTATTAGTATTGTGAGGTCCCAAAAGGTTAAATACAAACACAGAAAATTAAGCCCTGCGCTCAAACTCCCACTACTCCTGAGTAGCATCATGGGTATAGCTCCCAAGTGTCCCTATGTAGGTGGGACAGTCCCTATTTTGGGCCCAAATCCCTCTGTCCCTCTTTTCTATCCTAATGTCACTCTTTTCCAGGGACTGTATATTGTTAGTGTGTCTCCGTGTATAATAGAGCTCCACAGCAATAATACTCACAGTTATGTGACTTCAAACAACAATAAATGTGTTTAGAAATCAGTCTGTGTAAGTAAGATACATTTTATTGTTCTGAATTACATTTTAGTTGCATACATTGTTATAAGTAAGTCACCTAAAATTTCTCAGAACAAATCATACCCCAACCACTCCACTATTAGTAAAGTGTTTCTCTTTGTCCATTTGAATTTTTGGAGTTACACCCTGTTCCAAATTATTATGCAAATTATATTTTTCTCATTTACCTAAATAATTGATGTAAAAAACAGACAGAATAATTCTCATGTTATCAACTATTAAGAGTACAATTCAAATTTTATTGAACAAACCTCCTAATGAGAACAGTATTTTTTTTTAAACATAAAAAAGTTACAATGCACTGTTCCAAATTATTACGTAAAGAACTGAAAATTGTCATTTGTTGTGTTTGCAGCATATTTACTGAAATCAAAAGCTATTTCAATCAAACTTATAACATTTAAACTTTTTAAACATTTTAACTTTTTAAACATTTTAACAGGTCACGTTACATTTTAACATAGGACCCCTTATTTGATAGCAGCTTCACAAGTCTTGCATACATTGAATGTGTTTCTGCTTGAATTTGTTTGCAAGATGTCAGAATAGCCTCCCAGAGCTGCTGTTTGGATGTAAACTGCCTCCCACCCTCATAGATATTTTGCTTGAGGATGCTCCAAAGGTTCTCAATAGGATTGAGGTCAGGGGAGGATGGATGCCACACCATGACTTTCTCTCCTTTTATCCCCATAGCAGCCAATGATGCAGAGGTATTCTTTGCAGCATGAAATGGTGCATTGTCATGCATGAAGATGATTTTATTACAGAAAGTGGTCAGTCAGAAACTCCACATACTTTGCAGAGGTCATCTTCACACCTTCAGGTACCCTAAAGGGGCTGACCAGCTCTCTTTCCATTTTTCCGGCCCAAAACATGACTCCACCACCGCCTTGCTGACGTTGTTGGAACAGGGTGGCCGTCCACCAACCACCCACTTCTCCATCCATCTGCATCATCCGGGGTTGCACGGCACTCATCAGTGAACAGGACTTTTTGAAAATTAGTCTTTATGTATTTTTCTGCCCAATGCAGCTGTTTCTGCTTGTGAGCATTGGTGAGTGGCCGAATAGAAGGTATATGCACCGTTGC